AGCAGATTTAAGTTCTCCAAAAGCAGAGGAGTGCCTCACATGCTCACTGACTGTTCAGTTTTCTGCCCCTCAATAACTCCAAACCACCAATCTCATCTTTAAAGGGAGAATTATTTTTCAGGGACTCGTGCCTCTCTTTCTCCTTTATAAACATATTTTTTCGTTTCTCTCACTGAGAATATATTGAAACTTCCATGTCCAGCTTTGCTTTATTTATACAATATAAAAACAAAAATTCATATCATTGTAGAGCTCAGGCTTTTATCAAGAGGATAAACCATAAAAAGTAAATGGTGGTGTGTACCCATAGACAAAGCTGATTGGGAGGCTATAGAAGGAAGATTGCATGGGCCCAAGAATCCAAGGACAGCCTTGCTCATAGAGAGAATCTGTCTCACAAAGGGAGTGCCACACTGGTGACTTATTACAAAGTAATAAATTCTAAGAGAAAATGGAAAGTAGGCCATGGTGATAGGGTAGATATATTTATTTCTTATCCTATTGCTGTGATAGAACCCCTGACAAAACACTTTAGGAAAAAAATACTTATCCACTTCAAAATTCTATGTTATAGCACATTATCACAGGGAGATCAAGGTGGCAGACAATTGAAGCAGCTGTTTACATATATCCTTATTTAAGAGCAGAGAGTGATGAATGAATGTACAGCTGCCATGCTCAGCTCACTTTCTACCCTTGTATAGAATCCAGAGTCCAACCCCAAAGAATAATACTGTCCACCTTTAGACTGACTCTTTCTACGTTGATTAACATAATCAAGACAATGCCCTACAGACATAGGCAAAGGAAAACTGATCTAGACAGTTCCCCACTGAGACTGTCTAAGTGACTCTAGATTGTATCAACTGGACAATTAAATCTAACATCATAGTGGAGTACATAGTAAAAAAAAATTCTTAATAGAAAGATCAGATGCAGGCTTCTAGAGATATTGATATTTGAATAAAGCCAGAAGGAAATATACTCTAGTCAATTTCTGTCTATTGTAGCCAAGATAAATGTAGCAGGATGACTTTCTTGGACACAATAAACAAAAATTGGCTGCATAATCCATAGAATGTATGGGCATGGACATATATGCTTGTAATCCTCATACTTGGGAGGTAGAGAAAGAAGGATCATGAATTCAAGTCCAGCATTGGCTTTATAAAGAGTTTGAGGCTGTCCTATGCTAAATACAACCCTGTCTCAAACCAAGAAAACTACAGAATATATTTAGGAGATGTTGGTTGAATGAATGAATGAATGAATGAATGAATGAATGAATGAATGAATGAATGAATGAATGAATGAATGAATGAATGAATGAATGAATGAATGAATGAATGAATGAATGAATGAATGAATGAATGAATGAGAATACCTCCAATCTTAAAACAAGATTGATATTTCTGTGTGTAAGTAAATTTGTTTTCTTTACGTAGGCATAAGTTTTACATTATGTACCATGTTGAACTGAATATCTGGAATATGGCCAGGCATGGTATGTATACCTGCCATTTCAGTACCCAGGAGGCTGAGGCAGAAAGATCATGAATTCAAGGACAGGCTGGACAACACAGTGAAACCCTATCTGAATACAGCAAAATCATAAAAAGAATAATACCTTAAAATATTTGATATTAATATTGGTTGGTTTCAAATATATCCATGTATCATTGAAATAAGAGAAACGTTTAGTTGTGTGCCATCAGACTATTCTCTGGGTCTCAGAGACATGTGTACTAAAAATACCTGACTTCACCTTGAGTAGAGTCACTAGATAAAAAGTACATGAACCTAATCTCAAAAAAGGAAAGAAAGAAATAGTTCTCAACTGACATATTTATGTTCACAGTATTCTTGTGATTCCATGGTCTTGGTACTGTCTTCAACTTAAAATGTCAACTATACAGTTATTCTCTTTGTGGGACTTAATCTTCTTTATGGTGGTAATGTGTTCTATAGCTCTCAGGAGCCAAGATTGTCTTTGGCATTTATTGCTTGTCTAGTGGGTGTAAATCAAAGTTCCTGGATATGTGTTTAACCTTTTACTTTACAGTATTTGGAATGACCTCTGTTGTGCTACAAATGAAGTATACTGAATGTGACAGTGAAAGAGTTGAAAATACATTTTTAAAACATTCTTATGTTCATTTACCCACTGGAATTACAGTTTGGGGGAATATGAGCTAATGCATATTTTAAAGTTAATTGGAAAAGACAGTTTATAGACATTTTATTTATTTGTTGGTCAGTGCTTAGGAAATACATTCTTTTATGTCATAGGCAGACAAATGTATTCAGGGTTCTATGGGGTGGCAAAGTAGCAATAAAGAATAATTACAAACTTCAGAATGAAATTATATAACACTTATTTTAATTGCCCTATCAATTTAAATCCCTTTTCCATTTCTTTTAACAGCTATTATAGTACATTTAACAAAACCATTGCATTTTTACTATAATTCCAGGGTGTAACTATAATTTACTAAACCATCATTTCTCCATTATGTATATTGTCTTTAAAATATATATTTAATTTACTCTGAATTAATAATCAAAAGAATAATGAAAGAGTTAATGTTAATGTTATAAAGCATTTTCCATTATTATATAAAGTGCCAGAAATTTTATGACTGCTTTATCAATCATCCAGTGTATGTTTTTAAAGTTTTTCTTAGCCGAGAAAGTCACAAAACTGTGTTTAATTTCACTGGACTTTATTCTCTTTCTGTAATTTTTAGTAACTTGCATGTTAATTATATTTCTAGATGAAAACATATGCTATAAGCATTTTACTGAATACATAGTGAATTGTGTTCTCAAATGGTCTATCAATCATTTCTTTACAATTACTTTATAGTTGGTAGATTAGTCTGCTCTTACTATATCTTTCCATATTTAAATAAAAATAAGCATTTTGCAAACCAGAGTAAAATTCATCTCTTCAAGTACAAGAGTCTGTGATTAAAATGATCTTATATTCTGCCATTCATTATAAAAAAGTAAGGTGTCTTTTTTTATTCTTAAGACTCTAAGCACAAAAAATACAACTCTCACCTCAAAGAGGATAACAAATGGTTTGTCTTGTAGCCAAGTATGAGTACCCATGGCCTGAGAACACAGACTTGGATTACCCCAAATGCCCTGTCCCAACAAGGAAGCAATTGTATGATTTTTTTAACAGAACTAAAAAAGTCAGAAATCAAGACACTTTTCAAGTATGTTAGTAGAAGCATGGGGAGGTGAGTTATGACAAAGCAAGAACCCTGTCATGAGCCTCAGATGCTATTTGATGACCCTCTTAGCTTCGGCATTGGGATAAGGTAGTAGTTAATGCATTCCAAGGGAAATCAAGCATCTATGTATACATCCTAAAAGATTTGCCTAGTGGTCAAGAGCTTTCAGATAAGGTATGGAGGAAGGCAATAAATGGCTATTGAGAAGGCTAAAGAGGGCTCAAGGTATTTTGGCTCTGGAGTTGAAACATCCCAAATCTCTCCACAGTCACTGAATTTCTACTCAGTTAACTAGTCTTATAGAAGGTTCTGTTCGAATCAAGCTTTTTCTGGGAACTTTTGTTCAGAAGGCTGTATACTGGGGTGATTCACATTGTTTGTCAACAGCTTCACTATATGTGAATACAAAAAGAAATAAAAAGGAAGAGCATAACTATTCCTAGGTATGGTAAAGGAGATAAAAGGGAGAGTATAGCCAGAGGCAGAGACATCTGGGAGAGTCCATAGTGGACATGACCCTGAGCCATGTGGGTAGATGGGAAGGATAAGGAAGAGGAGGAAGAGGTGCAGCAGCCAGGAGGTCCAAAAGAGAGTGGGGTAACCAAAATGACTGGATTATATAGGGAAGGACAGCCCAGCCCTTGGGCTGGAGAAGTTTAGGATAGGGTAGGGATATGCCAGACAGGAGGATCCTGTAACAGGCAAGGACTGGGGGTTGCAGGGAGAACCTGGTGGTCAAGTTTGCTTTGATGTGTTAAGTAGGCACTTCAGCCATTTATCCAAGGTTTGGAACCTAACAGTCAGTTAATAACGCTGAGTTCCAGGAATGTTAAAAATATGACAGCATGGCCAAAAAAGAAATATTAAAGAACATCTCATCATTTTTTTTTTCATCAGCTGTCTAAAATGGTGACAGGAAGCCATCCAGTGTATCCTTGGCTCTTCTCACATCTGAATAATGCCCTTTTAACTGAGGTTTTCATTCTGAAATGTCAAGAGTGTCCAATTGCCCCCCAAATGGTTGTGGTTCTTCTTTTATGCTAGAGTAACAGTGAGCATGAAGATGAACCCTGGGCTCTATATAGCTAAGGACTGCACCTGTGTTTCTCCAGACTCAACAGAAATATATGACTCTCACCTCAAAGGGGATAAGGAGTGGTTCATTTTGTAGTGAAGTATGTATGACAACAGCCTGGGGCCACAGATTTAGATTACCCCAAATATCATGTTCCAACATGAAAGCAGATTCATGAAGTTTATTATATTAACAGACAAAGAAAGTCATAAGTCAATATATTTTCCAGTATATTAGTGGAAGCATCTGGAAGCATCTCCTTTCTGTACTAGAGTAGCAATGACCATGAGTATGAGCCCTGGGCTCTACACAGTCAACAACTGCACCTGAGTTTCTCCCAGCTCAACACAAAAATACAACTCTTACTCACAGAGATAAGAATGGTATCCTTTGCTGCACCCTTATTCTGACCAGTTACTCATCATGACCTTATTAGTTGGGAAACAATAATACTTAGGGGCCCAGTCTTCAAATAGAACAAAACAGAAATTCACATATGATTGACTAAATGATCTCTGCTTCATTAGCCATACTCAATAAGCCCTTCAAATATTTAGATACCAAAGTTTATTTCAGTAGAATCCTTGATGCCATTTACTAGAAAAAAACTGAACTTATTAAAAATATTTTCAGTTGTTTCTATAGAGCTAATTTGCTTCTCGTTTTCTGTTCCTTTCCCCTAGGTTTAGGCTTCAGTATTGCTGGAGGGGTGGGGAACCAGCACATTCCTGGAGACAACAGCATTTATGTAACGAAAATTATAGATGGTGGGGCTGCACAGAAGGATGGAAGGTTGCAAGTAGGAGACAGACTGCTAATGGTGAGTGTGAACCCAGCAAAACTGTTGACAACTTTATAAGGTTCTTCTTTCTCACTGTGTGACGACTGTTGTAGCTTGTGAAGCTGTAACAAAATACCTTAGACTAAATGGCTTAAATACAAATATATTTCCTTAAGCACAAATATATTTCCTCAGAATTCCAAACATTTGTATTATTTCATTTCTATGAGAACATTGCTCCAGGTTTGCAGACAGCCACCATCGGATTGCATCTCACAGGTCCTTTCATTGTTCTCTTGTTGGCAGAAGGATGGATTCTTTTTTCTTCTTCTTGGCTAGCAATCTTATCATTTTAGTGCCTTGACTCTAACACATTTAACATTCAATACAAACCTGTGCAGCAATGGAGATCAGCAAACAGCTGTACTGTAGAAAGGAAACAGAAGCCTCAGAGAAAGCGTGGGAAAACATGCTTAGTCATTTGTCCAGTACCTAAAAGAAAACAAGATATAAAGTTGGGAAAGGAAAAACAGGCAGATTTAGCAGTGTGACATGGTGGGGGCTCAATGAGCTACTGCATCATGCATGGGATGGATTATTGGGAAGGATAAATATATTTTCTCATTAAGGAGACAGTTATTCCTCCCATATCTTTAGTGTGTTCTCTAATGAATTGGCTTTCATGAGCAATGGTCTCCTGACTAGATGATTGACAGGTTTAGCAATATAACTTCTTAAGGCAGGAGACAATAATAATATGTATTGTTTGAACCTCTGGAATAGACCATAATGTCTTGTCTACCCAAGAGCCAGAGGTCTTGACCAAGAAAAAGTATCTTTCTTTTAATGGCCTCCACAAAGCCCTGAAGCCTCCAACTCTTCATACATAAATTTGTATCTTTAGGGAGCAATAATGATGCTCTTCTTCATGGAGTTACCAGGGGAAAATCAGAGGTGGAGTCAAAAATCCAATTATGAGGGAGGGGTTCATCCAAAGCTCCAAGGGCTCCAAAGCCTGATTATGCCTAACTACTTAAGATGACTATATATCTACAAGAAGCTATTATATCTTCTTTCTTTATGAAAAGTGCTAGAGACAGAGTTGAGTGCAACTCAACAGAAAGATCACTTCATGATATATGTAAGTTTGGAAAGTTAAGCATCAAAGTTTTCTATTAATTATTCTTATTTCCTTAACCTCTAGGGACCTTCTATTTAATTCCTGTGATTTATCTTGTAGTTGTGAATGCCTTTGAACTGAATTCATCTCTGTATTTGGTATATATTGAGTTTCATAAACTTCCTGTACTTCTTTATAAAGTAACCTGTAGAAACAGGTCTAGAGACATTTACTAACTTAATTATGGTCCTATTGTTAATGGTGGTGAGACCTGGCTTTCCAGCTGAGGCATTCTGATTGTCCATTCATGATCATCACCTCCAGCAATACTGTTTCCTCCACATAGGATTGCATTCATTTCTTTGAATCTGTCAATCAATTTGCCCCCTCTCCCTTTGCTTATTATTTAGTTAGTCATTTAACAAGTATCCCATCCAACTACCATTTCCCAAAGGGAAGTCACTCTTCAGGAAGGACCTCTGCTGTGAGAAAGCATCCAGTCAAATTGGACAGGCAAAAAGGAAAAAATGCACCAATATTAAACTTATAACTCGAGTTTCAACTCCTTGACCACCTATTTTCATTCTCAAGAAGCTATGATACTTTTGATTCTTTGTATGCTTTGGTTATAAAAGTTGATCTTATGTTGTTGCATTTTCAAACAAAAAATATTTTAGGGACTTAAAATAAAAATAATTTTCATTCATAATATAAATTTTGTTACTTGAAATATTGACATTAGAATAAAGTGTGAAATTATTTTCTTCATAGTGGTACATTGAAAATAAAGTGGAAACTTTCATTTTCAAGTAATGGCTGCCTTAGGACAGGCTTCCCCTGTGACATACAAAGAGTTTAGATGTAAATTTCCCATCATTCATTCATCAGATGCTACTGTGAAATTATGCTAGATCTGTCTGCTGATTTCTTCAAGCATGCCTAAATCTGTAGACTTTTTTCAAAGTCTATGAAAAAGGCTTCTACACCCATATAATTCTACCAAAGAAATTTTCAAATGCTATGGTATTTTTCCATGATAATTTTTATATTTATTGTAAATAAAGTGATTTCAAAAGTAGCTATAACATAATTCTTCAGCTTTAAGTTTTAAGGAATGAATGTTTTTTAAAAAAATGAACCTTCAACAATAATAGGTCACTTCTGTCCTATATAAGGAAAGCCGTAATTAGTACTTCCAAGGCAACTGGCAAGCAGAATCTAGGAATGAAAGAAAATGGTTCACTTTAAACTATTCTAAAAGAAAAAAAAAGAACTGACCCTGAAATAGAAACAACAAACAAACAAATAAATAAAAGAATTAGTGAATCTACCCTGAAAACCAATTATTTTACTTCAGCCCCCAAAATATGTTACTGCTCTCCTGTAGCTCTGTTTAGCCCCTACTAATAATGTCTATTTTTCCTGCTCTTCCTCTCTTCTCCCCCAAAAGGAAGTGCACATGATTTACACTCTGTGACTTGCCAGCTGCAGCACCACTGCATATTTTCTCTAAATATGCTATTCTTTCTGAAGCTGTTTACCCTACTTCCTTCTTTCAGTCCTTAGGAAAATGTCACTAATATGTTATCCACTCAGATAGTTTTACATACACTGGTCCCAAAAACAAACTCCATGTTGTGCTATAGTTCAATAGAAGACCTTGCTTAGCAAAATCCTGAGAATGGCAACAAATAGAAATTATTAAACTCCTATTAATTTTTTTAGACTTTTGTGACTATATCTCCACAGTTCTGTAAGTCTCCAATCACTTCCCCTAAGTGAGACTACAGCCTTGCAAGGGCAAGCATAGTCTTAATAATAACACCTTTGACTTCACAACTATGGTTACTGCATGTTGGTCATCTCCTGATTCATACAATATAGAGTGTGCATTTCCTTGCAAGTAAGTTCTTACATTTCAGAATGTAAATATTAAATGTCATCTTTGTTTGGAACCTCAGAATCTCACAGAATAGCAATTGTGTGAAGTGATATTTCACTTCTGATAGGGGCCTCTAACAGTGGAGCATTTAATACTTCTCCAAAGATACCTGTCAGATTCTAACCACCATGGTATATTTTTATCAAGACATTGAAAATTATTTTCTATAATTTTCACCCATTATCCATAGGCCTGTCCCCATAGAAATGGCAAAGATTTTTCCCTCTTTCATATGTATCTACAAATTTGTATTGCCATCTCTTCACTGTCCAGTCCTTAAAGATGTTTGACACATTCTTCCCTCATTTTTGAAGTAGAACTTATCACGCATTCATTTATATGTGTCATAAATAAGTTCCACTTAAAATACCTTTGGGTTCCTTACCATTTTATTCTCCACTTTTAAAGACGTAGGCAATTTTATACTACTTGAGCTTTGCACAAATTATGCTGTAAGGAAGAATTATACTGTCCCCTTTGCAACAAGCTTCTACTGTCTAAAATGAGGTGATATGGCCAGCCACCCTCATGTTTCATGGTCACCCAAGTACTTGGCATATATTGTGGTTCTCCACTAAATATTTTAATGCCATTTGCTACAATTATTAGATTCTTTTGTCTGTTTAGTTGAATGCCAGTGATAGCAGGTGTTTGTAGATAATACTAGTAACTTATGTTGAAATATGAGTGAATAGATTATTACTGAGTCTTGAATTTCTTGAGACAGTTGGCAACATTGAAGTTTTGTTTTTAAAAAAATCTTTCATATTTATATTTTATATTTATATTTTATATTTCCATACACTGTTTCTTCTTAAGCCTTAGCAAGATGCTCCTTGGATCCAGATATATTATAGAAATGTCATCTTTTTTACCTTTTCTGCATAATATCAGAGACTTTAAATCTGGGATGATTTGTCATTTCCACAGCAGTAACATTAGTTGTTGCTTGTCAAGCTCCTTGTCATGTTATAATTTAAGGTTTAAAATCTTACACTCTCCCCCTTATAACCTCTGCTTGACATTTAAAGGAAAAAATGTCAGTAAGAGAATTTATACACATTTTCAGAGAACGAATTAATCCTTCTTTCCTTAAAAGGGAAATAGTAAATGGAGGAAAGAATGATGAAAGCATTGAAGTCAAGGGGAAAAACACTGGGATCAGACTTTGAAGAACTGTGTATTAGTCACAGACAGATCCAATAACTCTCCCAGATTACTTTGGGCATCCCAGGTGCATCTGTGATCATTTTTTTTGGTTTTGGTCTCTTTACCACAGTATCATTGCCTTAGATTAGCATTTCCCAGTATGTGTTTTTAAATAATAGCCTTGTTCCTTTGCTAGTTTAAAGGGATCTAAAACCATAATAGGTTGCAAAATTCTGAAACTTATATGTGACACTATTGTGGCTCCTCAATGAATACAGAAAAATCATATTAAAAAAGAACAGATAGAAATCTATGGGACCTCCTGTAGTAGACCAGTACTTATCCCTAGCATAGGTGTAGACTTTCAGAGCCCATTCCACATAGAGGGATACTCCGTGAGCCAAGACGAATGGAGGTGGGCCTAGTCCCTATCCCAAAGGATAGACTCTGATGACCCCCTATGGAAGGCCTCACCCTCCCTGGGGAGCAGAAAGGATATGTGG